CACAAGTTCCACTATGTTTTGTGTTCATTTTAGTTTAACTCCCTGTACCTGCTAGTAGGTACCAATGTCTTCGGTGTCCCTGGAATGGTCAGATGTGCCCCCCTCTGATACCAGCCAAGGGTCCTCGGTTGCTGTGAAGTCATTTCTTTAGCTATGATTCTAAGGTGTCACTGTCCTGGGCTGGGATGTTAGAGGTGGGGCTTCCAGAAGGCCTACCTTGGCCATGTCCACAGAGATAATAGACTGCCTGACCTAGTTACCTCCAGGGTGGAAGCAAAGGGGGAAAAAAAAAAGTTTTTCACAGTATCTAGGAGCTATTCTACGTGCAGCAGTGCTGTCTGTCCTGTGTGACTAAGCCCCTGTGTCCAACTCCACCACACTTGACCTCTACCTGCAGTGCATGAAGGGCAGAGACTACCACCACCCTCCGCAGCATCCTCTCCATGTGGCTCACCAAGTAGCCCCCAGGTTCTGAGCTGCTCGCCTGTTCTCCTGGAGTTGGGTTCCATGTTCTTGTCATCTGAAACAAAGAAGTGAATGAAACAAGCAAAAACCAGTGGCAATGTTTATTTGAAAAAGTCCAAGTGAAGAGTTAGGGGGAAACTGGCTCTAAGAGCAAATTTGGGCCAAGTTAAAGAGATAAAAGTATAGCCTGGAGAAAGCAGGGCAGGCTATGGAGAGGAAAGCCATGATAAAAGTTCTTCTTGGCATCTGTGTCATTGTATTTCACTCAAATTTTGAGGAAACGCCCAAGAACTTCTGCATCCGGGTCCTGAGAGGCGGTGCTAGGATCCCATACCTCAGGTGGATATCAGGTCCAGGAATCCTGAGGAAAAGCTACAAGAGTTCTCAGGGGAAGGCCACGTGCAGGGCTTTGGGAACTGTTCTGCGCATGTGTCCCAGATCTTGCAGCTAGCAGGCCAGGCGTACTTCCCCAGCCAGCTTTGCCACACCCTGAGCTCCTGTATCAGCGCTAGGATTAGCATAAACTGAGCGCCAGCACAGCGGCAGAGCACTGGTAACAGCATTGCGTCGAAGGCTTGCACTAAATGCTGTTGCATTTCCTTGCTACTCTCCTGATACCTTCTGTCTCATCAGCCTGGCTTCCTTTTAGTTACTGAAGATGAAACCCGAGGCCTGTGCACAGAGCTGTATCCTCAGCCACAGGGTCTCCTTAAGTTATTATGTTGCCTGGACAGGGCTCAACCCTGCTCAGCCTCCCAGAGTGCTGAGATTACAGGTGTGTGCCCCCACAGCTGGCCTAGTGCAGTTGACTTCAGCAAACTGGAACTCAGTTTTTCTGGCTTTTGCTATTTATGGACTGTATTACTTGCATTTTAGAAGATGGTATTAAAAGAGTCTGAGCAATCTTAAGAAACAATCTAATGCTTTTGACAGGGGAGGTTTCTACTGTAGATGTGACATTGCCAGGATATAAATAATTTTTAATTTCTGTGAGCAAATTTCTTTTAAATTTCATCTGAATAAGTCTTACTGGGTCTTTAAACAAAAAAAAAAAAAAATTAAGGTATGATTATCATGCTAGACATTTGTCTTAAAAAGAGCTCCACTTTTCTCTGGTGGTGTGAGCTCCTTAAAGCACCCTGAGCTCAGCACGTCCATCC